AAAAAAAAAAAAATACATTATTGGTCTTCATGTTACAGAAACTTTCCCCTCCATACTTATTGTTTAAATTTTTTTTATGCTATTTTTGCATGAGTATGAGTGTAAAGTTTTAAAATTCTTAATGTAGTAATAGTTATAATAGAAGTTTTTGAGTATTCCAACATGTGATTGGGGGAAGATGACCTACTGAGAAAGTGCTATGTTTTAGCTAGACATATCGCCATGTATAGCAAAGTAAGTGCTTGATACTAAGTTTCTTAGGAAATTTGTGGAGTCAAGTCGGTGAGAATTTGCAGAATTTTGACACTTAAAGAGAGTTTCAGAGGGATCTAGGTAAAAAGCATTTAAATACAAGAGTCCTTTCAAAGATGCTCCTGAGAAATGATCATCTGCCATCTTATTGAACATTTGTAGTAATTATTATAGTTGATTATTCTTTATAGGGGGACTTACTGGAGTTACTTTATTAACAGTTTTATCTACCCATCATCCATATTCAACAGTTTATCAAGAATGGTGGCATTTTTTTGGATTGTTCCAGCAATAAGAAAATTCTGTGCCAGACGTGGTGGCGCACGCCTGTAATCCCAGCACTCAGGCTGAGGCAGGGGGATTGCCATGAGTTTGAGGCCAGCCTGGGCTACGTAGTGAGTTCAGGGCCAGCCTGAACTACAAAAGTTGACCCAGCCTCAGAAAACCAAAAAAAAGAAAATTCTAGGTAGCAGTTTAAATTTGTCTTAACTCTTGTGATTTATTTAATCTTGATTCTGCTTTAATGAATTATCTAGGAAAAACTCCTTATTCAAAATAAATTGATTGATTAGAGACTAGTTTAAGCCTCTTAATGTTTTCCTAGTCAAGCTTAATCTTAGGTTTTTCAGTATTTTCTATATGAAAGGATTTTGAAATATTTTAATATTCCGCGTTTTACTAACTTGATAGTTTGTTTACCTTTTTTTTTTTTTTTTTTTGGTACCAGGGATCGAACTTGGGTCTTTGTGCTTGCGCAGCAGGCGGTGAAACCACTGAGCTAAATCCCCAGCCTTTGTTTACCTTTTTAGGATAGAATATTTATGGATATTTACAAAATTACAGGGGTTTCCTTTAAGTTACATAGCAGTACAAAATGCAAAACAAATCAATTACTGAGTCCATGTATTACTTTGAAGGTAGTTATATGGGAGATACTGTTTATAAGTAAAAACTAAAATTAATGGAAAGTCTTGTAATCTTTGCTAATTTTTATTCATTCATCTGAAAATTAGAATTCTCACTTACATCTGCCATCTTCAGTCTTGTAATCTGTATTCAGCTGATGTGTTAAAGACAAGTATATCTACTGTTATACTATATGAAGTAAATCTACTTCATATATTATTATGAAGATTTATATCCCACTCAATATACTACTTTTTTTTTTTTTTTTTTTCAGTACTGGGGATCGAACTTGAGTCCTTGCACTTGCAAGGCAGGCAGCAGAACCACTAAGCTAAATCCCCGGCCCTCAATATACTACTTTTAAAAATTGAACTGTGCATATTGATTCACATAGTACAAGGTTACAGTGTCTTCAAATAAACATAATTGCTGATCATGAAGGAGGGTAATTTTAAGCGACGTTTTAGGGGGAGAAAGGAAGCTTTGCTGAGCATGGTGGCACATGCCTGTGATCCCACCACTCCGGAGGCTGAGACAGGAGGGTTGCCACGAGTTCAAGGCCAGCCTTGGCTACAAACTGAGTGCAAGTAATACATAGTAAATACATAGTAAGACCTTGTCTCAAAACACCAAAAAAAGGGGGAACCTTTCACATCTGTGTTACTCAGGATATACTCAGAGTATTTGAAAGTTTAGAATATTGTACAATGCTATATATAAATACTGTCAGTTTAAAATATGTTAATCTGGTATGAGAAAATTTTTTCAAGATAGTTTAATCTTACTTTTTGAGACTTGGTAGTGCATAAAGAAAGGATAAAGAGTGTATGGGGAGCAATATTCTCTGTAAAACAGGAATCTTTATTACTTAAATTTATTTGTTCATGTTTAAATTTTAGATTCTAACACCTTTCTTACTGAGAAGACTAAAATCTGATGTTGCTCTTGAAGTTCCTCCTAAACGAGAAGTAGTTGTTTATGCACCACTTTCAAAGAAACAGGAGGTTTTCTATACAGCCATTGTGAATCGTACAATTGCCAACATGTTTGGATCAAGTGAGGTATAGTGCAGGCTTGAAATATACTGTAAATGAGACCTGCTATATAAAATTTCATGATTGATTTCAGTCTTACAGCTCCTTACCTGTTTTAAGGACTTGTTGAATGATGTTATTTCCAAGTGAAGTATAAGGCAGAAGGTCAAAAGCCAAAGATTTTTCCTAATATCTCTAGTCCTGCTGAAATTTTGAAGTGATAGTCTGTGTGTTACTGTTTGTGATCATCTGAAATGAGTGTTAAAAATTTAGATTCCTCTATCAGATTAACCTTAATCATGCTGTGTGGAATAGATTTGGAAGTGTTCTGTTAAAAAGCACAGTCAGGGCCAGGGATTTAGCTCAGTGGTTCCGGCACCTGCCTTGCAAGTGCAAGGACCTGAGTACGTCCCCTGGTACCAAAAAAAAAAAAAGCACAGTCAGAGCCGGGGATTTAGCTCAGTGGTTCCATGCCTGCCTCTCAAGTGCAAAGTCCTGAGTTTTATCCCCAGTGCCAAAAAAAAAAAAAGCACAGTCATTTGAGAATTACTGTTCTGAAGGCTTGCCAAGTAGGCCACTCCTCCCAATATGCAATTCCTTCACAGGAAGGTATTGATAAACTATTTGAAAGAGATGTCTGTTGTAGTCACCTACCATATTATAAGAGATGGAGGTAGAATTTAAGTTCAAAGCAGTTTTATCATCTTTAATTTTTCTCTGCTGAGCTATAAAAGTATTCTCTCAGTTTTAGATATTGTCAATAATGTTAAGACATCTCATGGAAAATTTGTGTTTGGCAGTGAGATTATAGATCTGTAGTAATTGTGTCATTGGGAATTATTAAACTTGATGAAAGAAATCATTTTGTACATATAAATATGCTTTTTAAACAGATACTTCTTCAATTTTTTTCTCTTTTAGAAGGAAACAGTTGAGCTAAGTCCTAATGGACGACCAAAACGCCGAACTAGAAAATCAATAAATTACAGCAAAATAGATGATTTTCCTAATGAGTTGGAAAAATTGATCAGTCAAATACAGCCAGAAGTAGACAGAGAAAGGTGTGGGTTTAATAGTAAATTTAATGGGGATGGGGGGAGAGGGGAGTGGCAGGAGGGAAAGGGGAAGTAAAAACAGTTAAGATGCAATATGCATATGTACCAGTTCCTTAAGATGAATGTGGTTATTATATATATCAAACATATACCAATAAATAAAAGAATTTATTCTTTAAGTTTTGGTAGTTTTTTCCATTTCTCATACTCATGCATTATATTTTTGGTAGGCCTGTTGTGGAAGTGAATATCCCTATAGAATCTGAAATAAATTTGAAGCTACAGAACATAATGATGCTACTTCGTAAGTGCTGTAATCATGCATATCTGATTGAATACCCTATAGACCCTGTTACACAAGAGTTTAAGGTGAATACCATTTAATAATTTACTATTTTGATTTCTAAATTTTTTTTAATACTGGGGTAGTGTTATTTTGCTTGGTTTATTATTATTTAAATACTGTTATTTTCTATATGAAGATTTTAATCTTCAGTGCAATGAAGCAATCTCTTAAACTTAGAATCCTTTGAGGCTTAGAATGATCATTTTTTTATATGCAACCTAACTAGTATTTTTCATATTTTATATGAATAGAAATCCTAAATTTAGTGGAGCATGTCATATCTACTTTTGCTGTCTATGTTAGGGATAGTTAATCACTTTCTGGGTATTCCTTTTAGCTAATATTTAGCTTGTCAGAATTAGCCTGGCTATTCATTGCTTAATGAACAGAAGAAAACCAAAAAGTTAAGAGTTGAGGACTTTCAGATTCAGTGAATGAAACTGTTTCCTTGGGCAGTTAATTGAAAACTGCCATAGTATTAAACTATTCTTAGTAACCCTTGTTTCATACTAGTTTACAACTTTACAGCAAGGCTTTTATCTCTGGCAATATTGAAATTTTGGGTCAGATAATTTTATTTGAGGTAATGTCCTGTGTACTATAGAACATTTAGCGACCCACTGGCCTCTGCACACCAGTAGTAGCCACTTTCCCCTATTGTGACAACATAGAATTCCTTATAATCTCTGATACTTTCTTTAGTTTCTGGTAGCAATTTTTAGATTTTTTTTTTTAGAGGGTTGCTGTTTTGAGACGGGGTCTCAGTGTGTAGTTCAGACTGGTTTGAACTCAGTCAATCCTCCTGCCTCAGCCTCCCAAGTGTTGGGATTACAGGCATGCACTACCATGGCCAGCTTCTGGTAGCAGTTTTTATACATAGTTTACTCCATTATAAATAAACCTTAATATATGAATGGTAAACTTGAACCTACTGCAATTTTGGTTTGGGGCATGTGTATGTTTAATTAAAAAGATTGAATATTGAAGTTAAATTATAAAAATTATTATTGAAAATTGAGTATTCTAATAGTTTTAGAGGGGTTTCATTTTTATATGTGATTAGTAATAGTTTTTGTTTGTTTGGTTTTTTTTTTTTGGTCTTTTGGTTTTTTGTTCACTTTTAAGATTGATGAAGAATTGGTTATAAATTCTGGAAAATTCTTAATTTTGGATCGAATGCTGCCAGAACTAAAAAACAGAGGTCACAAGGTAATACTTCGGGTTATAATTTTTGTTGTTTAATTATTTTTTTTATGAAACAGTAAAGACAATGAGATTTATTTATTTAAATTTCAGGTGTTGCTTTTTTCACAAATGACACGGATGTTGGACATTTTGATGGATTATTGCCAGCTTAGAAATTTCAACTTCAGTAGACTTGATGGGTCCATGTCTTATTCAGAGAGAGAAAAAAATGTAAGACCGCTTATTTTATATATACCAGATTCTTTCTTGTAAGTCCTAACTTCATTTCTGAAGTAGTGCATAAGATATACCTACAACTTGTTAAGAGATAGGGATGATCTCTGTTTTTGGTAGGATTAAAAAAAAGCATTTTGATTTAGTATAAGTGGTGTTTGGTTGGCATGTGTGTACACACACACACGTATCTTCCTGCACAATCTTAACTACAACTGTCAGGATATTAGGATAATGGGGAAATTTTTTTTACCTGTGACTTTCTGTCTCAGTTCTCAGCATTTATTTTTTATGAAAATTTCAACTGTATGGCAAAATTAGAAGAATTTTATATTAAGCAACTAAATCCACCTATAATCTGCCAGTAAATTTTTTTGGTTAGTGTTTTTTATTTTTATTTATTTATTTTGTGGCACTAGGGGTTGAACTCAGCCTCTTAAAAAAATTTTAACTTGACAGGATCTCACTAAGTTGCATAGGCTGTTATCAAATTAGTAATCACTTTGCCTCAGCCTCCTGAGTAGCTGGGAGAACAGACAAGCACCATGGCACCTAATGATAACATTTTTATCAATTATCTGTGACAGAACATCTGTTGCTGTATCCATTATCCCTTTTTGATGCATTTCAAAATACATTATAGATGACACTACTCTTTTCTTCAATGACTGCAACATCTGTTATATTTTGGGGTAAATATTACAGACTCTGAAGTAAGTGAAATATACAGTTGTTGAGTTTTTGACATAGATGAGCATATCTATGTCCAAATTCCTTATCAAGATATCTGGTATCAATCCAGAAATATTCCTGTGTTTCCTCTTAGTTTGTCTACCCTTCTCACTTCCATTTCTTAGGCAACTATTACTCATTTTTTTCACCATTTTTAAATTTAGGTATTCTTATTTAAACTTACCTATGTATAGTCTTGACAAAGTTTAGATTTCCTTAATAAAACAGATGCTTGAAAAATTAAAATGGGCAGAGATTTTACTAACATTGTTTTATACATTTGAAAGGTTGGTTTTGCTTCCCTTCGAAAATCCTTTAACAGTGACAGTTGGAAACACACACGTGCAGTCATGTCTGTTAAAGTTTGTTTTTTGATTTCCAGTACTGTGGATTGAACCCAGGGCCTTCACACTGAGTTACAGTCCCAGCCTTTTTAAAATAAATAAATTTATTTATTTATTTATTTATTTTGCGTGTGTGTGGGTTTTTTTGAGACAGAGTCTCTCTGTGTAGTTCAGCCTCGTTTTGAGCTTGTTATGTAGCCTGAGCTGGCCTCACACTTTTGGCAGTCCTCCTGCTTCAACCTTCATAGTGCTGGGATGACAGGTGTGTGCCACCACATTCGGCCCCAGCTCTTTTTTTGTCATGGTCTTATTAAATAGCTAAGTTGCCTGGGCTGAGCTCAAACTTGGGGTCCTCTTGCCTCAGCCTCCCATGAATACTGAGATTACAGATATGTAACACCACTCCCAGGTATTTTTTAACATCCTTTTTCTTTTAGATGCATGACTTCAACACAGATCCAGATGTGTTTATCTTCTTAGTGAGTACACGAGCTGGTGGCCTGGGTATTAATTTGACTGCAGCAGATACAGTTATTATTTATGATAGTGATTGGGTAAGTTGGAAATAAAGCAATATGCTGATTATATGTCTGATATAAATTTTTCATCCTTTAAAAACTTCTTTTGATTGTCATGGTTGTACAGAATGTTTATGAAGCCATTCTAAAAGTATAAATTGAGTTAAAGCACCATGTAAAATGTTTTTCATTATATGATGAATGTTGACTTTACCTGTATGGGTTTAAGTTAATTTTATCCTAATATTGCTAAATATTATTTCCTCCTTTTAACTTTTAAGAATCCTCAGTCTGATCTTCAAGCCCAGGATAGATGCCATAGAATTGGTCAGACAAAGCCAGTTGTTGTTTATCGGCTTGTTACAGCAAATACCATTGATCAGAAAATTGTGGAAAGAGCAGCTGCTAAAAGAAAACTGGAAAAATTGATCATCCACAAAAGTAATGATGCTATATGGTACTTTTTTACCTTGGTTGTCTGTGGTAAATTTTTATTGTCATTATTATTTTCTTTATAAAAGAAGTTGGTACAGCTTGGTATGACAGGATTTAAATTAGCAGTGCGGAATGTGGAGCTACTAACAGTCTATATTAGGTTGGTGAGCATAGACAGAACCTTTCTCTGATTGTCTAATAAGGCACAGAGGTACAAGGAAAGGAGTCAGCAACAATTTTAAGATGAAATATAGCCTAAACTTTCATAGGCAGCATGGCATGATATCAGTACATATTTTTTATATTTGATGGCCAAAATTTTTAAGAAAACTTGCAAACGCATCACATTAAATATTAGAATAGTAATGGTATATTGAGGTAGTACTATAGAAAATCTACTTGTTTTAATGTAGAAAAGATTCTAAAAAGGAGGGGAACTGAAGTGAGTAGGGAGTTTTCTGTTCCTAGAGTTACTTGGAAAAGTTCTCTTTTTACTTAATATGAGGTTGTATTTTGACTCAATGGCTCAGTGGCTGCCCGCACAAAAGTTGAAAATTGTCAAGCCTAGAGAAATGGGAATAACATAATAATGCTGAAAATTGCTATATTACTTACCTGCTTGCAGATTCTTCTCTATGAATTTGGTTTTGAGGGCACAGTAGATTAGATTTTAGACAAAATTAAATTGACTTGATGGAAAGTTCATATTATAGATGGAATTCCATTTGGGGTAAGAACAGAACCTTGTCCTAATAAGGTTTTGTGTAAATTTAAAATAATCTCACCTATGGCATTTAGGGAATCTGAATAATGGAATAAATGACATTTTGCTTAAATAATGATGTGTATACCTGTAATCATCACCTAGAGCGAAAGAACATTTATATCACCCAAGGAGGATTCCCTGTGCGCCCTATATTCCCCTGATCCTCACTGCATAGGGCAAGTGTTACTCTGATTTCTGTCCTGTAGTTTAGGGGTTTTTTTTAACCATTCATTTTTATGTACATACAATGCTTTTTTTTCCAGCTATTTAAGTTTAAAATTTAAGTTTATTCATTCTTCTATTAGTGGATATTTGAATTGTTTCCAAGTTGTGTTTATTATGAATCAGCTGCTTTTATATGAATATTTGTGGACATAATGCATTTATTTGTCCTTGGATTTATGGAGGGTTTATTTTTACCTATCGAGAACTGCCAAATATTTCCCAACTGAACATAGTATTTTATATCTCCACCAGCAAAGTATAAAAATTATAGTTACTTGTCCTCCTTACCAATGCTTGTATTTTATTGTCTTGTTAAAAAATGTTAGCTATTCTTATTTGTTTGGAATACATTATAGTTTTAAAAAGGAATTTTAGCTAGGCATAGTGGCACTTGCTTGTAGACAGTTCCAGCATTCTGGGAGGTGAGGCAGGAAGACCTCAAGTTTGCATCCATTTTGGGCAACTTAGTGACTTAGTGAAACCCTATCTCAAAATTTTTAAAGGGGCTGAAGAAAACACAGTGTAGAGGCCCTGAATTCAATCCTCAGTGCCAACCAAGAAAAAGAAGTTTCAAAGTGTTGAATTTTTTTTTTTTCTAGATCATTTCAAAGGTGGTCAATCTGGATTAAATCAATCTAAGAATTTCTTAGATCCAAAAGAATTAATGGAATTACTAAAATCTAGAGATTATGAAAGGTAAGATTTCTTAAATTTAGTTTTTAAAATTCTTTTGTTAGTACATATTTGTAATACATAGTGGTTACATTCCTCATGGGGAATTGGTTCTACATATTTCAGAGTTTTTTGTTTTGGGGGGTTTTTTTTGGTACCAGGGATCAAACTCGGGTCCTTGAACCACTGAGCTAAATCCCTGGCTGGAATTGGTTCCATATATAATACATCTTTTTTCATCCTCTTTCCTCCCCTGGCCCCCTTCCTCCATCTCTTGGTCCCCTTCCCTTTTACAAAGGACTTCTCCCTATTATTTATTACCTATCTTTTATTTATATTTTGGGTTTCTCATATAAGAGTAATCATGCTTTATTTAAGCTTGTGTGACGAGTTATTTCACGTAACATTATGGTCTCAAGGTGTATCCATTTACCTACAAATAGCTCAAGTTTATCTTTTAGGGCAGAGTAGTACTCCATTGTGTATAAAAGCCACATTTTCTTAATCCATTCATCTGTTGATGGACCTACAGGCTGCTTCCAGGAATTATGAACTGTACTGCTTTGAACATGGCTGTGCATATGTTATTGTAATATGATAGCTTTCACTTTTTCAGGAAAGATACCTAGAAGGGGAATAGCTGGATCAAGTGGAATTTCTAGTTTGAATTTTTTGAAGAATCTCTATGCTGATTTCCATAGTGTTATAGTTTACACTCCCACCAACAACAAAGAAAGGTTCCTTTTCCCCCCACAGCTGCTCCAGTATTTGTTACTGATTTCTTGGTGATAGCCATTCTTTTTGGAATAAGGTGGAATCTCAGTTTTCTAATTTGTATTTCTCTAATGGCCAGAAATATTGAACATTTTTTTCATTTATGTATACCATTTGTACTGAAGTGTTAATACATTTCAGTTGCCTGATTTTTTATTGGGTTTGGTATTTTACTTTGAGGAGTCTGTGTTGAGTTCTTTATGTATTACAGATTTTAGTCCTTTGTCTGAGGAATACCTGACATATTTCTTTTTCTATTCTATTGTCTTCACTCTGTTGGTTGTTTCCTTTCTTGTGCAGAAGCTTTTTAATGTAATATGATCTCATTTGTTGATTCTGCAGTAATATTTCCTATGCACCTGGGATTCTGTTCAGAAAGTCCTTGCCTATGCCTATGACTTCAAAAATTTTACCAATTTTATCTTCCAACAGGTTGTTTTAACATTCATATCTTTGATCCTTGTTGATTTTTCTACAGTCTTCTGCATGTGGATCTAGGATCGCATGTGGGCCTAGAATCAATCTTCTGCATTTGGATAGCCAGTTTTCCCATCGCCATTTGCTCAAGAGGCTGTCTTTCCTCCATTGAGTATTTTTGGCCCCCTTGTCAAAGACCAGATAACTTGCATGTATCTGGGATTGTTTTTGCATCATCTCTTATGTTCCATTGTTCACATGTCTGTTTTTATGCCACTGTAGCTTTATAATATACCTTGAAGTCCAGCATTATGGTGCCTCTTGCTTTGTTCTTGTTGCTCACAATTGCTTTTGCTATTCTGGGTCTTTTCTAGTTCCATATGAATTTTAGGATTGTTTTTTCTAGTTCTGTGAGGAATGCTGTTGGTATTTTGATTGGGATTGTGTTAAGTCTTCATCAGTTTTGGAAGCACAGTATAGTCATTCTGACAGTATTGGTTCTGTGTATCCAGAAATTGGGTATCTTTTCATTTTCTGATGCCCTCCTTGATCTTTTTTTTTCCTTCAAAGTACACTAGTTTTCATTGGAGAGGTCTTGCACTTTCTTGGTTAGGCTAATTCTTAAGTATTTAATTTTTCTTGATGTTACTGTGAATGATATTTTCCTAATTTTTTTTTAGTTTTGGAAAAATGTAATTAATAGATTTATTCAAATATACTTGAATATTGTGTTTTACAGAGAAATAAAAGGATCAAGGGAAAAAATTATCAGTGATAAAGATCTAGAGTTATTGTTAGATCGAAGTGATCTTATTGGTAAGTACCTTTCATGTTTTTATTTTTTGTGGAAAATTACAAGCATACACATGCAGGGTGGTGATAGTTCATTTGGCCACAGTAGTTGGCAACATTCACCCAGTCTTGTTCATAGTCCCTTCTTTTTTGTTAGAGTCTTAAAAAATCTCAAGTAATCATGCCATACTTTATTGTACATCTTTTATTAAGAAGAACATGTATCTTGGCGCCGGGGATTTAACTCACTGGTTCCACTGCCTGCCTTGCAAATGCAAGGTCCCAAGTTCAATCCAAGGTACCAAAGAAAAAAGAAGAACATGTATCTAAACAGCAACTGTATTATACTACATTTAAGAGAATTAACAGTAATACATTAATTTCATTTATTACTCTGTCGATTCAGTTTGAATCAGGATCTAAATTGCATTGATTGCTGTTACTTGTTTATAACACTCACTTTCTTTTTGTTTTTCTTTCTTTTCTTTTTTTTTGGTACCGGGGTCGAACTCAGGTCCTTGCATTTAGACAGCAGGTGGTGAAACCACTGAGCTAAATCCCCGGTCCTCCTTTTGTTTTTTCTATGCCATTGATTTGCTGGAGAACCTAAGCTACTTGCTGTATAAAATAATTACATCCTGGGGCCAGGGATTTAGCTCAGTGGTTCCGGCCTCTGCCGCGCAGGTGCAAGGTCCTGAGTTCAATCCCCAGTACCAAAAGTAATAATAATAATAATAATTACATCCTGGAATTGATTTTCAGTTTTCCTCTTTATGTTGTCATTTAGATTGTTCCTGAAAATATATAACTTTCTTGTAACCTCATAAATTGTATTTATGTAAATAGCTTTAGATACTTAAATTACATTTAAATGCTATACTTTAGCCAAGAATAACAATGTTTATATGATTTTACCATCATATCAGGAGATACATCATGTCTGGGTTTCTTATATTTGGTAACCAAAATTGATCAGATTCTGGCATATCTCACTACTACAGTTTCTTGTCAGCCTTTATTTAACTTGATAGTTTCATCACCCATTGATAATGATTGGGGTTTTTTTGTCTTATTCCTTTATTAGCTAGAATTTGTCTCTTAAGAACTTGCCCTAAGTCTTTACTTACTAATTATTTTACAGTATACAATTAATCTGTGTTCTTTGTATTTGCATTTTTCTATGATGGAAGTACCATATTATGGTGTGCTGGAGCACATCTTTTCCCCATTGTTTTCAGTGGGAAAAACATTGTCCTGGTAGCTTGAAATTGGTAATGATGATAGAAGACTCACTTTTTATAGCATCATACTGGAAATTTATGATTTTTTTTCCGGGTTCTTATACTGTTAATAAAAAAAGTACCTGTTTTAATATTTTTCTTGTAGATCAAATGAAAGCCTCAGGACCAATTAAGGAGAAGATGGGGATATTCAAGATACTAGAAAATTCTGAAGATTCCAATCCTGAATGTTTGTTTTAAATTGGAACTGAAGAATAGCTTAAGTTACTGTTTACATCTGGTGGTTTGCTTATATTGGTTTTTTGTGGGTTTTTTTGGTACCGGGGATCAAACTTGGGTCCTTTCGCTTGCACAGCAGGCAGCGAAACCACTGAGCCAAATCCCCTGCCCTAATTTCTTTTTTTCTTTTTTCCTTTTTTTTTTTTTGGTACCAGGGATCAAACTCGGGACCTTGCGCTTGCGCAGCAGGCGCCAGAACCAAGTGAGCTAAATCCCCAGCCTACTTATATTGGTTTTGAAGTCCAGATTGTCCACTTGACTTTTTAAACTAAATCAGTTTACATAATGTAAGTAGTACCCTTGTATACTTAATAGATTATAATTTCCTGAGCCTTATTAAGAACAAAGTTTATCTTAAGTTTAAATTTTGAGGCTAGGTAGTACTCTTGGGTATGGTCTGATATATACTTAAGCATCACCAGATTTATACAGTCTTCCTGTGGAAGTTTAGTAAATGCTTTTTACCCCCTTTCTTTTAGCAGTGCAGTTCAAGGGGGTTTGATACTTCAATTATGGAGTAGGCTTTCAATGGGGGCTTACTGGAGTTATGCTTTCTATTGTTGAAATAAGAAATTGTTTGATGTTAGAGTCTTTAAGAGAGTTCTCCAATAAAATTTCATTATAAGATCACCTCATGAAAGTATTTTGTGAGGGAAGTAATAGTTCAGATGAAATAATTGCAAGAGACTTGACTGGTATTGGGATTAAGTATTGGGATTCAGTGTTACTGTGCCAACTTGTTTTCATTTACTAGTACTATAAGCATATATCATACAAAGATTCATTGAGTTAACACAGAGAAGGCTGTGGAAGAAGCTGCAGGATCTTGACAAACCAGAAATTGTATGTGGTAGTAATATGCAGTATAAGAATATGACAAAAAAGGAGAAACCTTGAAAATTTATAGAGGAGGGTAAATATAGTGAGGCAAAAGAAAACAAGACCTAGGAATAACCCAAAACCTGTAATTAAGGAACATAAAGCCAAAAGGGGAACAGTTTAGGCCCTGCATAAAAGGACATAGGCTATGAAGAAGAGAGATCTAGAATATACTCTGGGAAGGGGGAAATGGTCCCTGAACCATAGATTTCTAAATAGGGTAATGGGAAATGTTATTTTTTATATTCATAAGCAGATCAGTGTTTTAGGATAGTGGAACTAAGGCTCAAAAGAAAAACTATTTTGAGAGAACAATTAAAGAACAAAACATGGAACAGGTTTTGCATTTTGTTTTATTAAGTCAGACTGTTCAGCTGTCACATAAGCATGCTGATTAGGATTGCCCAGAACTTGGTCATGGCATCAGTGAGTTGCTTAGTAGTTAAATTTTTCAGTCTTGTTTTCTTAGATTGTTCTGAATGACTTGTCATAGCTTCATCTCTGTCCTCATCTCTGAGATACATTTCGCCTTGCTCCCTGTTTCACTGAGAAAATAGGAACAACCAAAAAGAACTTTTAAAAGTTGTCATCACTGTATCTGTAATCCTTCTTAACTATCTGTTCCTATTTATCTTTCATTTCTTCCAATATTTTTTGTCCTAGTCAAAGCCCAGTGAAAGTCCTTTTTTTTATTGCAAGATTACTTGCAACCGTTGTCTATATTCATTGTTTTTAATTCTCCTTCTTGCATTTTTTCCCCTCTCATTCCAGTTGGATTTTTGTTCCTATCATTCCAGTAGAATTGTTGTTTTTAATGTCTCCCGCTACCTCTAAAATCATACTTCCTGACCTGTCAACGTTTCACATTGTTACTGACTCTCCTCCACAAAAGAATTTTAGTGGGCTTTTAGTAAACACATTCTCTCGCATTTCCTTCCTCTTGCTCTGATTCCCAGTTTTCTTTGGTGTTTCTTGCACATCTTGAACTCTAAACATTAGAATGTCCCAAGCAGGGGTTGCTACTTCCTTGATGATTTTTACTTCATAACTCAAGACAACCCCAATCTGAATTTATTATCTTCTGTAGTCCAAATTTGCTCCTTTTGTATTTTCCTTATTCCAGTAAATGCTAACTCTTTATTCTTTGAGTTGTTTATACCAAGAATTTTGGAGTCATGGTTTACTCTTCCTTTTTCTTCATACTCATATTGGAGTGTAAGTATACTTTTAAAATTTGTCCAGAATTCTGCCATGTCTCACTACTTTAATGTGTATTAATGTTTCTGTATCTTTTTGTGCAGGTGTATAATAATTTTTGATTGGATCAATAGTTATTGTCATTTTAGCCATATAAACACCCTCCAAATAACATATGGGATATGCTGTGATTGTATTTTCACTTTTTTTTGGTGGTGGTGGAGCTCTGAATATTCAACCCAGGACGTTTTAAAATTTTGAGGTGTGGTCACTGAATTGCCCAGGCTGGGCTTAAAACTTGGCTCAGTCTCCCAGAGTGCTGGGATTAGAAGCATGCATCACCATATCTGACATTTTTTTCCTTTTTCATATTTTCAATCTTGGAAAGCTTTCCCCTTGACTATTAATAGTTCTCTTTGTGCTTATCAGTAACTCCGGAAGTTTGAGTCCCTCTGTATGTTCAAATACATCAGATATTTCATTGGTAAGTTCTCCAAAACTACATTCCATCTCATCCCCACCCTGTCCCCTAGAGCATTATTTAGTCTGGACTGTAGAACAGATTCCATCTAGAGTCTCACTTTATCCTCCACTTAAGTATTTCTATTGGTTATTTCTTATTTTGGAGCCATTTTTTAACTGGATCTCTTGCCTTTTCCTTGGTTTATTCCATTTTGGTAGAAGTTTCTTGTTCAGTGACTTTCTGAGAAAAAGATTCCAAAGAAATGAAATATTGAGACTTTCTGTATGTGACTGTGTTTCTATTGCACATCTATTGTAATAGTTTTGGTTTGGGATTTTAATTAGGAATCATTTCCTCAGAATTTTAAGTTACTATATATTGTCTGTTTTTGTTTGTTTATCTTTATTTTTTAAACAGGGTTTTGCCATATAGTTGTGGCTGGCCTTGAACTCACTGTGTAGCCCAGGCTGACCTTGAACTTGCCTCAGCATCTTGTGTGTGCCACCACAACCTGGCTTTTTCTTTTTCTCTTTTCTTTTCTTTTCTTCTTTTCTTTGGGGGTGGTGGTGGTTTCTTTGCTTGGTATATTTCCTTCAAGTGATTCTTCTGTTAGTCCCTTTTATTTTGTATGCTTCTTCAAATGCTTTAGGGTCATTGACTGTTCTTCAGATTTGAGAACAACTAAAAAGCTAAATTCTATGCATAGGGCTTGTCAGCATGTAGATTTTATTGCAGTGTACTGACAAGGCCATGTATTTGAGAACCTCTCAGTTATCAGCTTGTGTAGTAGACCTTTTTGAGAGAGAAATCCTCCAGTCTCTTGTCTTGTGTGTACATACTTTGCCAGTTTGCTTTTTGGTCAGAGAAGAGGGAAGGGGTTTTGGAGATTTTACTGTTCACAGTATAGGCTTCCCCAATCAGTTTCCAGTAAGGTTCTGCAACCTGCTACCTCAGCTTTATATCTGAATTCCCTAATTTCAGAGCCCTAACCCCTCCTATTCACCTTTTGCAGGGAGTGAGCCCTTCAATTTTTTTTTTTTTTCAGTGTGAGAGTGTAGTAATCACTTTACAAGGAGATAGAACTGCTTGGGGTTTAACTGCCTCTTTCAACCAGCTGTACTGGAGTTCTTTCAAGGCAGCCTGTATCCAGAACTAAGAGTCTAGTTCTCCAAGCCTGTTGGAATACTCACGCATTTATTTTTCAATTTCTAAAATCTTTTGTTGTCATCTCTTCTGTTACCTTGTCTTGCGTGTTTAATACTTCTTTCATCTTTATACTGTCAGTTTCCAGATCTTTGTCAAGGGGCTGTGGGAAGCACATGTTCTCATTCCATCATATTGAAACAAATGTTCCATGTTTTACTTACATAATAAATTATTTTCAAACTGAGCTTTGTCTTTCATAACTTGGTTAAACAGTGAAAAGTACTGTATTCACCCTGTTTGTTTCATGAGTCTTTAGTCTATTGGATTGGCTTAATTTGGCTTGGTTAGTTTTTTGTTGTTGTTGTTTTTGTGGTGTTGGTTTTGCTTCTATTTTATTTTTGGCAGTCCTGGGGACAAGGGTTATGCTGAGATATATTCTCATCCCTATTGTTACTCCTTGTATGTGTTGAAAAATATGGTGAAAGTGGTACTTGAACATTTTCAGGAAAGTGTGTTTGGAGTCTTATTAGCAATTGTGTATAACTTTTTTAGTCTTAGTGATTTGTGATAATATTTTAAGAAGCCTACAAAGTACAAATGTTTATATTAAAAGCATTAAGTGCTTCTGATAGCTTTAAGTTCCATTCTCTTTATTTAAAAAAATTATTTACTTTTGAATATAGTTTTGAAAATTCTATTTCTTGAGCCGGCCATGGTGGTACATACTTTTAATCCCTGCACTGAGGGAGCCAAGGCAGGAGGATCACATGTTTGAGTTTTGCTTGGGCAAGTTAGTTGAGACCCTGTATCAGAATAAAAAATAAAAGGGACCCAGGGGTATTGTTTAGAGTTTGCCTAAGTTCCATCCTTAGTACTGCCTGCCCCACCAAAAAAAAATTCCATTGTTTGATTAGCCTGTACATACTATTGATTTGTACATAGCACAAATACTATTGTTATTTTAAGTACCATCAGTTCCAGATAAATATCAGTTATGGTTATAAAAATCAAGCCTAAGGTGTGAGTAAAATTAAAAAGATTTCTCTGTTGTCTTTATTTCTTTTGGATCAATTAATGTCATTCACTTAGTTTGCTACTATTGCTACATTTAGAGAAGATGCAAGCTCGACAAAAATGTAGTGAAGCTTTCAAGTCAATACACATTTTATATCCTTAATTTAGCCCCAAAGTCTAAATAAGTTTAATAAATAATTAAAATTATTTTAAAAATAAATTATGAAAACATGTTTATTTCTTAGTTTTATTTTTTCCTTACAGTTGTAAACTAAGCTTAAACTCCACTTGTAGTCCTATTGTGCATGATTAGGAGGTATGTTTAACAGTACTAGCTAATGGTGTTTAATGTGTCAAGGTGATGGCAACCAGGTCCAATAAAAATGTTCTCTTGTTCAGGCATGACTTGTGCTGACATAATTTGAAAATATCAGCACTAAATTACAGGTAGTTGTACTCTATTATAAGGTGATTGGTCAACCATCAGATCTAGAATATGCTTATAAATCCATTTAGATTTTTTTTTGGTACCGGGGATCAAACTCAGAACATTGCACTTGTGAGGCCAGCGCTGGAACCACTGAGCTA